CAACATGTCCACAAGATGGAGCTAAAGAACCAGAACAGAATGAGCGTAAGCCATGAATGATGTCAGATCAACTGTTTTAACTGTATTTCCACCCCTGATGTACATTTGCTGTTTTATACGTGCCAAGTTTGTGCTAAGACTGCCAGTTACTAAGATAAAACAAAGATGTTGGATCTATTGTCTAAAAAAACCCTTTTCCATTTAATTCTAACATTATTTAATAGACTTTATTTATCCCAGACCCAGACAGCAGCATCTAAAAACACAGAAAGAAAGTACAGAAAATAACAATAATTAATTAACATGCATCCGGTGTCGACACACAGCAGGTCCAAGGCGACACCGTCTCCGGTTAGGCAGTCCACATACTGGCTGAATGTGGGGAGAGTGGTACAGAGCGATGTATGATCAAAGTCTCCTGAGATGACGATCAGAGACTGAGGGTGTGATGTTTGCAGCTGGGACACTGAACTATGGATGAGTTCACAGGCTGCAGCAGCATCAGCCGAGGGGGGATGTAAACTGTAATCGCCATGACGTGAAAACTCCCAGGTGAAACAGCCACAAACCAATATCGGATGACTCTTGGAAATTTAGTGTCGCAAGTATTTTGCCACATATATTATCTGTGTTGATTATTTCCTCCTAATTGTAAAGACAAGTTTATCATGCTGAATACTCAAAACCTATGATATACAGCATACATACATAAAGAACGTGGACTGAAAATGAACTCAGTCATGGGTGCAAAGTGCTAAATAAATGGCTGATTTCAAGCCTGGACAGTAAAGTTTTTATAGCTGCACATATAAGGACGAGGCATCGCGTGATTAATGCAACATGTAGGTTTTTGTCATGACCTCCACTTTAGCAGATTGGCTACAACATTTAAACTCCACACAGGTGAAGTAAATCACAATGCTGGGACACACCGGGTCCGGTTTCATTCATGTGGAATTTACTTTGACATGCATCACCGAAGGCTGCAAGGTGGAGTGGTGGTTAGGAGCGTTGCCTCGCAGCAAGAAGGTCGCTGGTTTGCGTCCCAGTGAGGACACCCGGGATCTTTCTGCGTGGAGTTTGCATGTTCTTCCCGTGTAGCGTGGGTTCTCTCCGGGTTCTTCCTCCCACACAGTACAAAACCATGCTGAGGTTAATTGGTGATTCTAAATTGTCTGTAGAATGTGAATGTGCTTGGTTGTCTGTGATAGACTGGTGACCTGTCCAGGGTGTCCAGCCCAGTGAGGGTTAAGCAATGTACAGATAATGGATGGATGTATCACCGACCTAAACACTGTAGTGGACCAAGCAGAGCTGTCGTGGCAGTACTGACTCCCACACAACATTTGGCAGATGATCAGNTTTCTGCACTGAGAAAATGAAGCCAGGGTTTTGCTACTTCCTGGTTGACATCTTGGATTTTTGGAGCCAGTGACGCAAAAATCGTCGGAGGGGGGCGGAACCATAGGAGCAGCGATTGGTCAGACGGATTGAGAGGCGGGCCCTCTCTGCCCGCCCACATTTACCGCCTTCTGCTCGCTTGGTCTGCACCATCGCTGCCGACTGTCAATCAAACCAGCCACGCCCCTTGTCCCACAAAATGTTGATGATTTTTTAAAAATTCAGTATTGAATTATTTTCAGATTGGCCACCTGATCTCTGGATTTGACCATGAAAACTAATAAGAAAAAAATCCTGAGCTGTAGGAATGCGATATTTGGTGATCTGTGATCACTTCTTTTCCAATTCAAGTCTATGGGAGCCAGGGCTTTTAGGAGCCAGCAGCTAGTGGACGTAGTGATATTGCAGGTTTTTGACACTTCCAGGTTGGCTTCATTTCTCAGGGCCGGTTGCTACGTCCATCTTTTATACAGTCTACGGCTTTAACATGCTACGGACACTTGATCACCATAGTAACCGCTGTAGATGAGCGAGTGTCCGGTTGGTAACTCGGTTATTGGTACCAGTTTGATGGATGTATTTAAAGGGCTCCAGCTGAGACGGCATATAGACACAACCTAACGCTTTGTGTGCTCCCGCTGCCTGCAGGTAGCTATAAGCTAAGGAAGAGGTCCAGTAAAGGAATGTCAACAGATTGTTGGTTTGAGACAAAAATGAAACGAGGTCTCTGGTGTGTCGTACTGCTGTCGAAGGTAAACACTGTTCTCATCACCACAACACCACAGACCTGATTGTGTTTACATTCACTATATTTTATCGTTAACAAATCCCGTGTACCAAAGTCTGATTAACGTCATTCTTTGTCTTTTTAGAAAACAAAGTTCTCCAAAAACTATTTAAAGATTTAGTTCCATCACAGTATGTGGGTATCGTCTCAAAGGTTTCATGAAATCTACTGCAGGTAAAGAGAAAAGCGTCCAGGTGGGAGGAACTCACTGACAGATTTTTCATAGAAAAACCCACTAAAAAAAAAAAGAAGCACAGAACATAAAATCCTCCACCAGTGAAAACAGGCCAACAGCACCACTTCCCAAAGCTTAAACAAGCAGCTGTTGTAGGAAACTCTTGAGCATATTTTAAAAACTACACTATTTATTTTGTGAGCCATATTTATTTCGCCTCTGAGGGCTCGGAGTGAAGCATATGGTGGACGTTTTATTTTGAAAACGGTGCAGGAAAGAAACACAAGAAGCACGTCACACTGACTGTAACTGCAGTGCAGAGGTTTAATAATGAAAGGAGAGAACGCCGTGTGACCACCTCGCTGAAACAGGACGAAGCTTTTAAAGACAGAGACAGTCGGCAAAATCTTGAGAAAACAAAACTTTTATTAATGGTTATTGATTAGTGGAAGAACCATAGTACATGCACATACAATGACTGGGTAGGAAGCCTTGTTTTGAACCACAACACCTACTGGAAGCAGAGCTTGTATAAAGTAGTTGCGGAGCCAGACATTCAGCATAGTGAGGGCTACGAGCCGTCCAATTTCTGATCAGCAGTCCTCACACACAGCACACAGACAAAGGTTTGAGCCGGCGGGGCCACCGAGGCCCCCCCAGGCTCTTACTGCTGCCGTTTTCATAATGTGATGCATTTGAGACTTTTTTTTTTCCTTTTTTTTTTTTTTTCTTTTTTGTTCCTTTCCTATCTAATTTGTTTATAAATACAAAAAGGGAGATATGTAATGACACTACTAATTGGGAGTAGTTGTAAACAGAATGTGGCGCAGGAGATGCCTGTAGGCTGAGCTCGCAAACGCAGCTCTCCTGTCGCCCCCCGCGTGGTGCTTTTTCAAACACACCACAGATTCGTTGGATTAACTTGTATTTACATCGTAGATTAGCCTGTTCACAAATCGTTTATTTTCCTCATATTTATTTATTTATTTATTTAGTATCGTAATATTCAAACAGTTAATTTTTTTTTTCTTCAAAGATTAAAGGTTGAGTTCTAGAAAACAACAGAAAGAATATCCTATAAAGAATGAGAACGTGAGAGGAAGGACAAAGAATCGGAAACAGTAGATTTGGAGAAGGGGGGGGAAAGAAAATAAGAAGAAAAATTACAGTTACAACACTGATATGTCTCAGCTTTATGTGGAAATTACATGTGCAAAATCGTACAGTTGACAAACAGAACAAAACTTAACATCATATATCTGTACGTCTATATAGATCCATCCACTTGTATAGATAGATCCATATGGACGCAGTGGAATGAGAGTATCTACATTGTGATTACATTATTTGTAAAGATTTAATAAAAATCAGAATATGACTTCATAAAAAAATGAGATAGCTCACCCCTAACAACTAATCTAATCTTCTAAGTCTAAAACATTATACCATTGTGTGTTTCATATAAGAGAACATCTTCACTGCACAGTTTCAAATATAATACATTGTTGGATTATTATACTTTAACCCCCCCACACCCCCCCGCCCCCTTCGATTTTAATTATGAAAGAAGAAGAGGAACGAAACAAGGCGAAACCAAAAACCAACGTAAGCATAAAATAGACGCAGCAGCTCAAGCCGCCGCTATATACATCTTTTTAAATTTGTCCCATAATATAAAAATCATCAATTATAGCAATGAATATATTGGAAGTTTCATATAAAAAAATCTAAGTGAATGGCCAACACCACTCAGAGGATTAGTGCCACGATCTCCAAATTCTACATCAGAATTCTGTGATTTAAGTTTCTTCCCCAGGATCACGATGTGTTCTTTTAAATTCTGTAATTAATTTAAAAATCATGTTTTTTTTTTCCAATTCTTCTTCATGTCTCAGCGTGTGGGCTGAGCCGTTAAATGGTGGAACAGTTTTAGTCATCATGGCAATCCTTTCTTCTTCTTCTTCTTCTTTTTTTTTTTTTTTTTTAACCCCCCATATCTCATAATTCTATGTAGAATCTTGGCTATACAAGTAAACACGCCAGATATGTCCACCAAAGACCTTTGGCTTAAAGTGATCTAAGATATACCCAAATTACGTTAGTCAATAAATCTACAGGCTGAATAATGTGCTGACTCTTTACTGAAAAGAAAAGGAAAAACCCAAACGTTCACTTCTGTCCTCTACGAAAGCTGTGAGCAGCTCTGGTCGCTATGAACCATGTGACGTCATGTCCAGATCATCACCTCGCGATCATCACAGATGTTGAGAAAACGGCAGAAACAAACCGTCACGTTTTGTTGTTGCAAGAAGAAAACAGCATTTTATGAGCAAAATGCATTCACCGATGGACAAACAGGCCTCATGTTGGGGTAACGGGTCGGTGTCGTGTGATTACGGACGCTTATCTTGTAATTGTGACGAATTATTTTAGCCTGTCCGAGCAACGCAGGTTGTTTGTGGTCATCATAAGTGTTACTGAAATCATCAGTCCTGTACTTTATCTGCTTCCTGTCAACTTTTCTGTTGTTTCTTGGCCAGGTCACCCTCGTGAAAGAGCTTTCAATCATAATGGGTCTCTTATCTGGTTAAATAAAGGTAAAATAAAAATTAAAATCAGGTCAGCTATGAAGGGACGTGTTGTGTTTCAGCTGAATGTTACCATCTTGGTTTGGTGGTGAGTGTAACATATGTGCGGGAAGCAGTTAAATAGTTGATCACCATTTAGTGATGAGTGAAAACATCACTTGTCTCTTTGCTATTTGATTGAAATTTACGACTATAATAAAGTCCTACGGAGGGAACTGGTGACCTTTGGGGCTCCTGAAGGTCTTGTGGGCAGCTGATAATCCAGTCTTTGACAATTCAACCTGATTTAGCAGAAAAATGAAGAGACTTGATGGATGTTTTGTGGAACAAGCAAAGTTTTTCCATTCTCTTTATCATGCTAGTCTTTTTTAAATTATGTATTATGTAATTTGTTGTCTGTCATTTTTTATTCCACCAATATGACGTTCATGCCAATAAAGTATAACAAATTGGAAATTCTGATAACATTGCCATTTTTAAATATATACATAATGAGTTTGTCTCATTCACTTTTACAGGTTTAGAGGTCATAGGTGTAGGTTTCGATTAAATTGATATTTGACATATCATGCACTTAATATTCAACAATTTTCGTCTTTTCTGCATCAATTTATGGTGAAAACGTCCTTATTTATGTCAAAATTACGAGAACATCTTCTTTCTAGGTGAATGTAAAGCAAACCACATGTCACAGGCGTGTAAATTTCAGCCGACGCTACACTACGGAGGATTTGGTCTCGAGAAAGGACCCACATCTTGTTTTGTTGCAGTCACAAGGAAACAGTTCGTCCTCAAGGAGATGGCGGAACTGAAACATAGCGATGGAGCTGCTCTCAGCTTTTCTGACTTACCGATCCGGCCTTTCTGACAGTGTTGGTGATTCCAAGGCTTCTTCACCTTCTTCCCCCCAAAAAACAAAACAAAAATAAAAATCTACTGCTGCTAATTTGACATAGAAAGTGCCAAAGAGGGCTGAGAGAAAACAAACAAACAAAAACAAAAACAAAGAAACAACACTTGACTAGCATAGCCACTTGAACACTCTTACAAAACATAAAAACCCCAAAGTGTGACTATGACTTATCTTACAGGATTGGAGTTCTATACAAGCCCCAACAATATGAATTTGATAAATATTTCCTTTGTGTCCTAATCGTTACTCTAGCAGCTCTCTATTAGTACCATGGAAAAAACCTCTACAGCTAATAAACTATGTTTAAATCTTTAGAAATTAAAAACCCACAATATCAAAATACACAGCACAAAATATCTGAGGTATAAGATGAAAAATATCAGCTGTCATTTTATTCTTATTAGTTTGTTTGTGTTTTTTTTTTTCATTATTATTAGTATTTTTTTTTTTTTTTTTTGTACTTCTCTCTTAGGAGATGCTGAAATGATGCACAAACTGCATGTATTGCAATACCCAGGCCTCAGTAACATCTCTCCTCGTTCTTTCTCTTGTCATTCACTCACACATTCACTCGCGCACACATTTTGCTTTTCTGTCCTGTTGGAAGGTTGAGTTTAGGTCGGAGGTGTTGCTAATAGGGTGCGAAGCGGCTGTAGCCTCCCCGGTATATACTAGCCTGGAGAGAGGACAGCACCAGCCCCACGTCATCGGCGTGGCTCCGAGTTTTGGCATCTGTCAGCGGGGCGAACGCGTTCTGAAACACATGCGTGCGACGGACAAACACGACAACACACACACACACACACACACACAGAGGAGCGTACACCCACGAGAGAATGCAAAACACACACATATTCGTAGAAACACCAAGGCACACACAACACACACACACACACACACACACACACACACCCGTTAGCCTCACTGACTCCGGCACAAATTACGACTAGAGGTTTAACATTACATTACCGTTACTCCAGTGCAAACCCATGGGGGATGAAAAGACCCATGACTGGTGCAATCGTCATGCAGCAAGCACAGCGAGACGCTTCATGCCAGGGGTGCATGCCAACAGCTACGTGAAAGAAATCCAGTCAATACAACTACGCCAAAAAAAGTGCAAGGAGAAGGTGAATCAAAGAACTCAAGAACAGGTGATTTGAACCAAAATGTGATGGTGAAGGAGAAAAGGCTCAGTCGTTTGGATGGATCATGCCTGGTGTTCACTGGGTTTTTCAGCAATTGTGGATATTTTATAAAGAATTCTGAGTTGAAAGAAAATATTGCAGGTGTGAATCTTTTTGTTTAGGATGCTAACAATCTAAATGACCAGCCCTGGAGTTTATCAAGATTTCCACTGCATGAGCTACGTTTGAACTGGCCAGACGTTATGAGTTGTATTATCTTGATTCTGCTGTAACACGTCGGAACAATACGTTTGTTTTCTAAACTTCTCTCTGCCTATATTTAGGAGCTCCACAGCTGTCCTAATCTAACCGTTTGGTTGTGTATCACATTGTTGGTCAACATAAAAGAAAGTTCATGTCCAGACCAGTGTTGCATCATCACCTCCATTAATGCTGAAGAAGTTGAGAGATCTTTTTGAACACTGTTGCCCCCATTTGTGCTACACAAACATTAAATGTGTCTTCCTGCTGTTAGTATTCACCTATGCTTTGTTTTGCAGCAGCCAAAATCACCTCTTATTTACGGTTTCCTTCATTAGCACGACAGCAGCCACTCTCAACCTACTGCACCGCCAATAAAACCATCATAAATAACTGCCACACTGTTGGACAACATGAATGTAGGTCATTGCTCTGTTGTGTATTCATTAGCTGTGGGTTGAGATTGTCTACATTTCACTGGCACACAACCCCGACCGTCACTGGACAGTGTTACTTTGCAATAAGCTCTATTTACCATGTACTTGTGGAAACACAAAATCCAAGCCAAATTCCAGTTACTGAGATGGTAACCACACGACAAGTGTCTAGACGTATGTGTACACCTACACCCGCACAAAACCTCAAACTGAAGCCATTTTCTTTAACACGACTGATCAAGACAAATGACTTGCGTGGGAATTGATTTGATACGGGTAAAATTTTGGGAAGTAGAGAAACAGTTCCACCATCGAGTGTAAGTCTGGTAAAAGGTCCGATGTGTGAGATGTTGAACATAAACTGGCATTAATGTTGTATGTGGTCAACAACTGACTGTCAGAGTTCCATTTCTTTTTGTTGTCTTGACTCTTGTAGATCCGTCATATCGGGCTCTTAGTGTCTATTTTCTGTGCTCTCAGGTCAGATTCGAGTGGGTTTGTTTGCTCCAGAGATTTGTGCTTTACCTCATAGCAGCGCTTCATGTAGCAGCGTCTAATAATCAACTCAGTCTTGGGACATAAGAGATGTTTTTGCTCAGTAGTTTTTGTAAATTTATTAAAAAACGCAAAACTGAAGTGTCACATGGACACCAGTATCCAGGATGTCGACTATGATGCTTGAATTCATTGCTCAGGTGGATCTTATTTGTCTTGAGATGTTTCTACACTTTGATTGGACGTGGTTTGGCGTAGACACGCCTGCTTGTTTAAGGTCTCACAGTTGACAGTTCATGTAACACCAGGCATTCAGGTCAGGAACTGTCTGCAGAGCTCAGAGACAGGATTGTGTCAAGACACAGATCTGAGGAATGCTAGTAAAAAAAAAATCTGCTGTCTTGAAGGTTTCGGGAGCACGTTGGCCTCCATACTTCTTAAATAAAATAAGTTTAGAACAGCCAGGCCTCCTCCTAGAGCTGGCCCAGCCAAACTGAACATTTGGGGGAGAAGGGCCTTGGTAAGAGAGGTCAGCAAGGACCTCCAGATGGGAGAAACTTCCAGAGGGGCAACTATCACTGCAGCACTCCACCAATCTGGGCTTTATGGCAGAGGAACTATATAAAAGCATCTTGTCAGGGAAAGAGTCATGAAAACCCGGCTCAAACTGTGAGCTTATCTGGGGTGAGCAGATCATCAGGATAACTGACGGCTCTTAGGTCGCATGTTTCTTCTATAAATCAGTCCAATAGCATCTCTACTTTGTGCCTAACATCACACTGTTCAGCCATCCACACCAACACTGCTCACTACCGATGACACCGACTGCCCCATCTCATGCTATCGTTTCTTTGTCTCATTCCGACGGTCTGACGAACCCAAAGTCCCTTTGACACGACCCCGTTCGAGGTGTCAAGGTGTCACGCCTTTATTTCGCCTCAAGGTTTTGTGTGTGAGCCGTGGAGACAAAATTGGGGCATTTTGCTGTTCTTTCAGCCGGCGGTGGACGGAGTCACGTCTGAATGAAAGGGAGAGCCGACATGGCGTAACACGGAACACTAGACATCGACATGTCTGTGTTGCACGTCAAGCTACTGAGTCTAGAACACTGACACACCACCTGAAAGCACGTACGGAATAATATCACACCGGCTTGTTTACTGCTCCGTGTTGGTCTTTTGCTATGCAACGTTGTTTTTGTCTCTTCAGATACAAACAGTCCTTAATGGAATAGCTGTCTGGTGTGTCTCCTGACATCTGCTGAAACCACATTCACACCACGAAAGACCCTAACGAACCCCATTGTGGCAGAGGGAGGAGTAACAACCCCCAATTGAAACTGAAACTCAGGTGTTAATGACTCCTTAAGGATATAAGTATCTGGAACTCCCAACTAGTCAGTCAGAACTGATGAAGCCTCTTGGATGAGAGGTGGAACGTCTTCAAGGAAGTCCAGTTGCTATGATTAATCAATGAGAATAACCACGACTGGATGACTGAGACCCTTTACAGACAGACGTTTGTTGTGTTTTAGGAATTTATATGAATGAATTCACCAATTTTGGTTGGTTATTATTCACCATATTTTTAAATTATATTTGTAATAACCATCAATATGGGATCATTTATGTCAAAATGCAGGAAAATAACTTCTTACAGAATGCAGCTGTTTTTATTTAATGTAAGGAGAAGGTGTATTTACAGAAGGAGGTCTTGAGTTTTCACATCATGTCTCGTTACTCATCGTCTTTCTCTATTTTCTCCTTAAAACAAACTGACAATCATTTATTCAAAACCTGCAGGCTGCCTTTTAACTGTGTACAGATCAGACTTATACACACTAACATAGGCAATCAGCACATTTTTGGTAAATTAAACGTTTTAGCGAAAGTAGGAATTAATTAAATCGGCATCAGGTGCGGTTAAATGGCGACGAAGACATAAATTAGATGTTTTTATTGGTAAAACATGACACTCCCTTCCTCTTTCTGACATAATATTAGCATTATGTAGCCTAAAAGCTATTTTAAAGAGGTGTTTTTAGTAGGCGGTGGATCATGAACCTGCGTCCAAAACCTCGATCAACTTTGACTTGGTTTTAAAGTTTCCTGATCAGTTCAATCATTAACACATTTCTAAGAAACGGGATGTAAAAGAGTTCCAGAAATCATGCCCATGTTCCTCCAGTGGAACAATTTAAGGATCAAGAAGGGGGAAGATGTCACAACAGATGTCAGGTGGACAGATGAGCAGGTCACTACATCTGTATGTGTATCTAACTCATTGAGCTGATTGGTTTAATTGCACAGTTTGGTGACGATACGGCAAACAGACAGTTCAAAGGTGAGTTCATTAAAGTCAGTAAACACTTTGAACTTTATTTGATTAACATTCCTCACACAGTTTTCTGATCTTTCACTCCGTGGCTGGGTCTGGACTTGTGTTTGGTTTGTGAGGGAAGTGTTTTGTAAGTTTCAGCAGTCCTCCCCACCTTTCCCCGCTCACTTCCTCCTCCCTTCCCTCGCCTCCTCCCTGAGACACCATAAGGAATTTAATTATCAAAATGACTAATTATTTCATTACCAGGGAGTGTGGGGTGAGGTAGTATCCACCAAATTAGAAATATAATAACTAACATGGACTGGGCTGCCAAGGCATGAAGACATTCATCACCTTTACAGGCGGCATTAATGTGGCATTTGGACTGCCGTTAGCAGCACAGACAAATTCAATTAAGTTTAAGTGAGGAGATGTCAGCGCTGCTGAAAAGCTCATGCACAGTGACTGAAAAAGAGAATAGGCAAGGAGGGGGAAGAAAATGAAGCACTGTGTGGAGAGCAGTTGGATAAATGTAATACAGCGAGCAGTGCAGTCGGTTCTAGAGTCCGGAGCAAGAGGCTGATGTAACAGATAAAAGGACATTTGATCAAAACTATTCACTGGATGCATAGCTGCTGCTGCTGTTGTTTATCGTGGATCAAGACCTCCAAGAATTTACAAGAGTACATTTCATGTGTCAGATGCATTTAATGAAGAGTTTTTTTTTGTTGCTGCTCAGGTTGCAAATGGAAACGACGCTGTTGTCTCCCTTCTCAGTGAACATACCGGTTGTCAGTTATAAATTCCTACTTGCGAATCTTGAATGTTGAGCCTAATTAGATTAAACAACAATCTAATTTCAATCGCAGAATTATCCCTGAAAAACACATTCCATACCTAAAATTTCCATCATATTTTTACTCCTGAGCTGAATCAGGATTCTTTAATGAATGCTGTTAATAATGAGAATCTGTGGTTTTCAAACTTGAAGCTACAGGTGCAGAGTGTAAACAAAATGTATTGTGCCATTTCTGACAGTCAATTAACTCCTCTTCCAAAAAACAACCAGTATTGATGGTGTTTTGTCAAGAATATGTGGACGGGACCGTCAGTGTGGGGGACTTAGACAGTCTCTATGTCTCTAGCATCGTGGTCAGCTAATGTTTTAAGCCAGGGGTGTCCAATCCTGGTCCTCGAGGGCTACAATCCTGCATGTTTTAGATGTTTCCTTCTTCGAACACACCTGATTCAAATGATCAGGATCGTTATCAGCCTTCTGCAGAGCTTGATGATGAGCCGATTGTTTGAATCAGGTGTGTTGGAAACATCTAAAACATGCAGGATTGTGGCCCTCGAGGACCAGGATTGGACACCCCTGTTTTAAGCTAACGGTAGCATATAAAGTGATGGTTGACCTCGCCAATCAAAAAATCATTTTGCCACTAACCAGCAGTAGGTCACACTATGCTGCACCTGACCAATGGCCCGTTGTTGTGAAACTGAAGCATGGGTGGGTGTTAAAACAATCCATATCTTCCCCATTGGACAACATTAGCACAAATGTGTCAACATGCAATGTTTCTTTGGTCCACTTTAACAACAAAACAAGTCAATGCAATTCTTTCTCTCGTCAATTAGAATCATTTGCGTATGGAGTCATAGCACCAGTTGAGTAATAGCCCAAAATTAAATGTGGCGCCACTTCCGGCACATTGAGGTGATTCATGTTTACATCGTGGGAAGTGTCCCAAAAATAATGATGCCACAGATACAAGCGGCCAAAATGAGTTTCCTTCACAGAGTGCCTGACACTCTCAAAGACTACTCTAGTGAAAAGGGAAGTTGTTGTTTTTACCTTGTTAACATTTCCATATGGTGTCCTTTATATGCTAGAAGACCATGAGCGAAATAAGCAGTCAACACCATGGCTGAGCATTTACTCCTTGAGACGACAGTCTCAAAAACATAGATTCAGACTACGAGGGTTTCAGATGTAACACGCTAAGGGGCCAATCAGGACTACTTCCATGTCAGTACTGTGGGCTATTGTTGTGTAGCGTAGGATAGTTTAACAGAGTTGTAGGTGAGCTGGTTTGATCAAGCTAAAGTAAGATGGGTGAAGAGAGGTGAGGGCTTTATTGATCTGTGGATTCTAAGTGAACCAATGGTGCAGAGTGAAAACAAAACCCTTACAATCATAAAATGTTCAATTTTGATGCACAGAGATACGTTTTTAGGGGTTGAACTAATGACCAGAGGGACTTTGATGATGTTTTCTAGAGGATCATTGACCCTTTTCTAAGCTCTGTGTGCAGCTTTGCTAGTTCCACTTGGTTGAAGCTTACAATGTCTACAACACCAAGGTGAAGCATTGGACGCTATTGCATTAAAGTAAGACAGTCCTTTGGTTATCCTGGCATTTGCTGAGGCTACCTCACTGTGATCATGTTTAAGACCACCTAAACTCGGTGGCCATTGCTCTTCCAAACACTAAACGGCCATTTGGTCAGTTCGTCTTCGCTATCGCCCTTTCACTTGTAGCTTTAAAAAAATGTAAATATAACGCCAGAAAGGAAAAATGTCAGTATATTGTAGTTAGCGGAGATACATTTTTTGGAGCTTTTAATTATAATTTTAATCGTGTACACGTTGCAAATGTAAAGTTTGGTGATGCATGATGTAAAGAGGACCAGGAATGGGCAAAAAGGGACATGTGGTAGGTATGACATTCTTACCATGGCACCAACGCTGTATGTGGCTGCTGGAGTGAGTGTGTGGTTGTAGGGGTCAGCAGCGTATACTCGTCCATAACTGTAGACAGACATGAGATAATAATGTATCATTAGTCAAATATCGCTCTGACTCCAGGAAACTGCTCAATAGTTCTCTTTCCTTCTCTACTTACCGATCATTTGTGATAAACAGTGGGATTCAATATGAATATGAAAGAGGGTTACACATAGTTAGTGTCATGCTACCAAAACGTAAAGAAAACACCCAAAACCCAGATGTATAGTATACAACAAAAGAAAATACATCCCTGTGTAACAGCACTTCAGTGTCACATGACTCAAAATTGTATCACCTTCTTCTATTTCCAGTAGGTACCTGGTCTTAGGTAATATTTAATACTAAAAGCTTGTTACAACACAAGTCATAACAGTACTAAGAATCCTCCATTTCTTTCAGTACGTTGCATGTCCACTTTTATTTTGGATGAAGGACTCAATCCTCCTCAGCCTGGAGGATACCAGCACGTATGGACAAACTTCCAGAGAGACGCTCCACCATTGCCCAGAGTGTGTTTCTTTCAGTTGCTGTTTGCTGGAGGGGTTGCGTTGGTTTATTTCTCTGTTTAACCCTTTATGGGGCAGATGACCATATTTGGTAACTTCCTTCAATATGTCCGCCCTGAGCCTCTCCTAGAAGTTGAAGAACCACTTTGATTTAGTTTTTATTATAAGTGCCAATATCACCATCTTACAAAAAATGTCACTAAACTAATGTTTCAGGCACTTTATAAATGCTTTGTTCCTGGTTTGCATTGGGCTCCACTTTGATTTATTTGTTGAGATCAGTGCCACTAAAACCACCACCCTGAGAAAAATGGTTCTAAATGACCTTGCCAAGCACTTCATGAACACTTAGTTACTGGTTGTGTACGTATCATTACGTCAAACTAATAAGCTTCTAAATGCTTCTTGTAGTTTGTTACTTTTCTTTTATTTATTATAAATTCCCGTTTTTTAACCGTAGACGGGCAAATTGCCATATATGGTAGAAAAGTTCCAGGACTGGTGTCACAAAAGACATATTTCAAACCCAAACTACAAACTACCAGTTTTCCACATCTACAAAGAGATCCTGCAGCGTTTGCTTCATTCAGTGTGCCAGAAGAGACGATCAACGCCCTGAGCATCCCACAGTTCCTGGCTGAGAAGAACATCTCCGTGCTGGAGCAACCTCCCTACTCACCCCACCTGGCTCCGTGGGATTGTTTCCTCTTCCCCAAGCTTAAGGGGGTCATCAAGGAGACTAGGTTTGAAGACGTGGACGACATCAAGATGGCTGTGACGGCGGACCTGCAGAGGATCCTGAAGAATCCTTCCACGAGTGCATGGCGGCGTGAAGAGAAGGCTGGGAAAGTGTGTTAGACTCCAGGAGGATTACTTGTCGTTTGTAGTTTGGATTTTAAATATATCTGTTGTGACACCAGTCCTGAAACTTTTCTGACCCACCTCGTATATTTAAAAAAAAAAATGTTTTTAATGTTTAAAAGAGGAGATTCTCTCCTTATCAACTTAGGAATAATGTAGTTTATGAGAGGTGATGCAATTCTAAACCATTTGACATTTAAGTGACATTACACATGAATGCATGTACTTCTCTTGTAAACAGCACCTTCTTCTAACTCAAAGGTTAGGAGATAACAGTGTAATTATATTTATATGGCATCATTCTTCATGTAGCAGGCTAAAGATCTTATAAAATTATACAGAGAAACAAACCAAATCCAAAGTTTCTTTTGGATTCAGTTTGAGCAGCACTTGGCAACAGTGGAAAGAAAAACTTCCGCTTTCCAGCAGAACCAGGCAAAGGGAGGGCGGCCATCTGCCACCATGCAGCAATAATTAGTTTATACCATAAAACTTAGACGCTTAATATTGAAATTATGAGACAGCATGTCAAACTGTATTCACATTCTAATTCTTATGAGGTGATACGTTTTTATTTTGAGAGTCAATTCGATGAGTAAACCTCAAACGCTGATAGTGTCAGAAACACGAGTCGTTCATTTCAGACAGGAATGAATTATCTTCCTGGTGGCAGGAAATGATCAAATACTGACAAAGAAATATTCTTATCAACAGCAAACTCAACGGCAGGCAAGTGGCTGTGGAGATATTCGTAGAGCCATTTGTTGAGTCTTGCATTTATGTTTTATTTTATGTCCACCTCCTGCACACAGACCCGCTGAATGGAATTATTTCAAAGGTTGTGATTAACCGTCAGAGGAAATTAGCCGAGAAGTAGAGAGAGAAAAGAAACAAAACACAGAGCATCGTGAAAATAGACTACATACATAAATCAAAGAATCCAAACAGCTTTCTATTTTTAGACGGAAATAGACAGCAGGAGTGTTTATTCCTATTGAGCTTCCATGGTGGAGCCACCCCCCCTCCCCCCCAGTCCTAGTCCAGCCATGATAAGGGCCAATCAGGGCCCAGGGCCTGTGCCCATAATTGAGCTGATTTGCATAGCAGCCCAGTGGTTGAAGCGATTAGAAGTTAATCCCGATTAGTTTTGGACATTGCTATTCACCATGCAGCCCCCCCAACACCCACACTCAGCCCAGCACCACATTTGACCTATCTTATCTCGCAGCGCAGAACGCTACCCCATCATCAGTGTGTGCGTGTGTGACAGTGCGTATGTGGGAGTGTGTGGTAAGCTGCAACTACAACACAAATTCAAATGCAATTTGAGTCAAATGCATTTTTAAAGTGACCCTGAGGTGAAAAGATAAACACCCGAAACAACATTTTCAACCGCTCGACAAACTCGTCGGGAGCTTGGTCAAATGCATAAGGGGGGGTTTGGGAGAGAGTGGAAATTCAGCAAAGACACCTATTTTCAAAAAAAATGCACACATCCAAAGAGCTGCAGGCTGATGACCTTAAACTGTCTTTCGCCTTGTTATTTTGCAAAAATAATAGCCTTTTGTTTTTTTTTTTTGTTCTGAAGGAATTTCCATTTTATATAAACAGCAAATATTTCTTTCTTTATGATCAAAAGCGTTCTGTTTTATCTGCTGAACTCAGAAGCAGCTCTGTGAGGTCGCCCTTGCACGACGGTGTTTTGAACAAACATCATCAGGCTAACCTTCTCACAATGGCAAGACTGATATGCTGATGGTGTACAGAAGGACTGTTTACCGTGTTGATGAGCTCGTGGGAATGTCATTAGTTGTGGTTAACAAACTGGAGGACAGTTCACCTGGAAAAAAGGAAGTCTCATGGCGGTCCATCCAATAATCTTTTTACTGGCCTTTTTGCCGTTATTTGAGAGTGCAGCTGAGAGAGAGACAGGAAAGTCAGGGAGAAGAATGGAGGAAGGACCTGGGGTAAAGGACCATGAGTGGGATTCGAACTCATGACCTCCCTGTACATGGGACGCCAGCTCAACCAGGTGACCTCTAGCGGCGCCCCATCCAAGCATTCTTGAACTCAAAGGTCATCCTCTGAGCACCATGAACGGATGCACCTTCATCCTACCTCACATCACTGTATGTAATCAAGACTGCTTTGTGGCAATGAGCTGCAGCTTTTGCTATTTGTGTCCCTGAAAAGACTCCCTGAATTACTCGTCCAACCACTTGACATCATCACTGTTACGAATCTCATCTCGCACCAGAATCTCGTGAAGAAAACACAATTAAAGTTGTGGTGTTGATATCTCCACAACTCCATTCTCAGCAATCGCACAGGAGCCAGGGCGGCTTAGCTCCCACCCCCCGAAGCAACACGTCTTTGAGCTTGAACGGGACTTAAAACGACTGATAATTCATTGTTGAAATTAATAGCGTCTAATTAACATCTCGTTTCTTGTCATTGCTAATCATGTGTGTGTGGTTAAGCCCTGGTCAGCGCTGCTCTGGCTTTATTTGCTGTCAGCGAAATGACTGATCAGGTGAAATGTAGGGAGTTTATTAATCTATCAGCTGCTTCCGCGTGTTGTTTTGTGGGTAATTACTGCAGCGTGCAACTGGCCTCAGAGCAGCAACTCTCAACAACACCCTGGATCTCCTGACAGCTCCCCTCTCTCTCTGAACTCATCATCACTCCTGCATAGAAGATGGCTGACAAATAAATTACCAAACAATTAAACTAGTCACAGGTGGAGCTTCATCGCTAAGTCGTGAGCTTGTTCTTTTTTTTCCTGTAGTAATTAGTAACAGAGCTGGCAAACCCCACTTCCCCTTTGCACAAGAAACGACCAGAAAGCCCTTCCCGTGCTATAGGAGTGTTTTTTTAAGGAGGCGTACATCTGCTACAGCAAAATCCCCTGACATACAGCTGTACATAGGCTTAGCATACCTCAGCTTAAGGCAAGAGGTGACAAGCAAACACCCACTAAGCCTTTACATCAGACACTTCATGGCATCTATTAAGAGCCGCCGACATCCCTAAAGTTCACAAAAAAAAACATGAGTGAAAACGACTTGGACTGTATGTGCATGAACTATTTCAAGAGTTTATCCACCTGCACAGAAAATCTGTTTCAATTCCAGCTCGAGTGTAGTTCCCAGATTTTGTGTTGTTATTTCTGTCTCCCTCCCCGCAGCACAAACCCTCATCCACGCCTTCATTACATCACGCATCAGCAGCATCCTTCTTCGTACCACCACCAACATCCTCAATCCAAAATTCTGCCGCCCGCCTCCTCACCCACCCGAGACCACATCACCCCTGTCCTTCAAAACCTTCACTGGCTTCCCATCCTATACCGCATTAAATTCAAAATCCTTCCACAACCAGGCCCCCTCTTACCTCAAAGACATGCTCCACCCCTTCATGTACCCTCCACTCTGCTAATGCCAACCTCCTGATCGTTCCCAGGACCAAGCAGAACCTGGGGAGATGAGGCCTTCTCTGTCGCCGCCCTCATCTTCTGGAACTTTCTCCCACAACACATCACTACAGACCCAGTAATTTTCAAATACAAATTAAAAACTCACCTGATTCGCTCTGCACTTAAACCTCTATCTTGATATCTTGTGTTGTTTTTATCTGCTTGCTCGTATCTCTGCGTCGTCTACTTTTGTATGAGTTGTTTTTATTCTTTTATCCTGTAAAGTGTCTTTGAGTTTTTGAAAAGCGCTATACAAATAAAATGAATTATTATTAATATTTTTTTTCACCTCATTGTGACATCAGGACCTAATTGGAAACACCACCTTTTATTTTGGTCGGATATATTTCCAGCATACAGCCCCCTAAAATCACAAATAAACCACAAACAAATGAAACACAGTGAACTACAGTGTACAACAGTAGTGAGTACGCCCATGTGTAATATCACTTAGATGTCAAATAATTCAAAAATTCTCAAAAACAGCTTTATTTCCAAGTTGAACATTTGAGTTTTTCCTCTTTCTCTATCACTCACAAGGATGGTAAAGGATAAAGAAGCATCGGAGACCAACTAAAACTGAGTTGAAACACAGTTGCAGCACTAATCAGGAGGTACAGAACCAGCCACGGTACGATAATCAGAGCCACAGTGGTTGTGCTCTTGAAAATGATGCCATGGACGTTGTGGTACTCGAGCAACTGCTTCAGACTTTGGAAGTTATCGATGAAAACATGTATTTGTGTGACAACTCAGAGATTTCTGTCTAAGAAAAAATAAAAACCTGTGCTTGCTCTTTGGCACAAAACTACAAGCTAAACCTCAAACATGAAAATAAGCCCGATGATTAGTGGGAGCACATTCCTTGTTCAGCTCAGATGGAGTCCAGGACCACCACAGTGAATGCATGGTCCTGACAGTGAAGCATGGAGGTGGGAGTGTGATGATACGAGGCTGCCTGACGAATAAATTATAAAACACAGAAGGTGCTGGAGAGGTGACATTTATAACTGGCACCATGAACGTCTATGGGTATACACCAAAGTAGTGGCTGACAAGATGAGGAAATGAGGAAAATCCTAGCATGAAGATGATCCACTCAACTGTCTCTTTGGAAATTTGTGCAAACCTGGTGTCCTCCATGATGAGAAGGAGGCTGTCATCAGAAATAGAATTGGACATACGAAGCCCTGTAAGAACAATCTCTTGAATCTCACGAAGGAAAGCAGTTCCACCCGTGGGGCCTGTACTGTATGGAGTAAATCCAAACTGTTTTTAATTTGACTTCAGAGCAAATACTGTTCTACTTAGAAGTAGTGCAGTAACTGGAAGGTGATACGGTTCAGAATTATTTGACATTTAAGTAGTGTGGCTCCACTTCTGTTGTACACTGTGATTAGTAGTCTTTAGTAAATATAAACTAGGTGAACGACACTGTAATTGTGTTCTTATTGTGCAGCAATGAGGCTGATCTAGTGTCACACCCAGAAAAAAAAACTCTTCCACTAAAGGAAACAGTAACATGACAACGACCTGCACTTCTAGGGATAAGTGGACGCTAAGCTAAACATGTGTCACGACAACATCTGGAGCGACCACGAGCAAAGGCAGCCACTCTCACAGACGAGATTCACAGTATTTGAGGCGATGCGTGCAAGTGTTGATGCCAATGTGTATGTCCTGATGTTTAGAAACAAGTGTTGACAACCCAGTAGTTTCAGGGGAGGTAACACTTTTGGTCACAAAGCGTTGATGGGTCCAGACAGAAGGATGTCAGCGCTGTTCTTCCCCTGAGCAAAAAAAACTTAAATGTTCACATGCAGGTTTAATTGCTAAATCCTGGGAAAGGTTTTTGATCTGATAACAAAAGTCTCAATGTGTGTATTAATCAGCGAGTGCTCAAAGAGTGTAGCTGCACGAGCGGCTGTTGCTCTGGTTTGTGTGCCACATGAGCCAGACTGGGTCGAGTCTTGCCTCATGAAAGCAGCTGTTGCCCTCATGGCACAAACATGACCCACATATTGCCGGCGTGGCCCCGCACAGATGGGCACATCAAGACTACACAGGTACACGGGCAGCTCCTTAATGCCACTCCAGACTTGGGTGAAAGAGGCTTCGTGGTAAACCTTTGCATACCAAAAAGGTGCGTAGTTGTTCTGAACAGAGGGAAGAGGCAGCTTCCACAGAGCTTCACTCTCAGATGCAGGGATGCTTTTTGACGTGTTCAGATAGGAAACCACACTGTTTTCAATATGTAGCGGTCACTAAAATGTTATTATGAATCAGTCATTTATAGGGAGGAGCTGATTCATGTTTGTGAGCGCTACTTGATATATGTCAGTCAGTACAGTAGTTATTAATAAATATATACTCATCCCAGTCATTAGAAAACAGCTGTTCTCAACCTCAACAACATGCAAATACCCAGATGTTCACTGCCAGACAACAATCAATCTCACTGTATTGACAGCACATGTAATAAACTGCATGCTTTGGAAAATTCTTAGTTTTGGAACTAGTACGTCTACAGCACATACATGATTATATTTAACATAATGAATGACAGTCTGAGATGCCTTCTCACAGCCCCTACAGCGTATCATGAGTCTTCATTTGATCAGTGATCAACACTGGTAGCACAGTCCTGCCACTCCCCATCAATTCTTACTGCAATTGCACACATTTGCACAAACAATATTAGTCTATTCATTGCTTATTAGTTCCCCATGTGGCCCAGATTTACGACCAGTGTGTCACATAAAGAGTTTGAGGAAGGGAAAGGACCACTGCTTTGATCTTATGTATCCGTTTTCTCTGATCTGTTCGGAATAAAAGTAAGCGAGAGGCAGCGGAATAAATCTCCTTCTCCACTTCTAATCTTGGCTCCAAGTTAATTCTCCCTTGGCAAATACGGCGCAATCATTCATCGGCATGATGGTTTCTTTTCCAGTAAACCGACTGTATACCTACTTTGCCTGTTAAAATATTAGCTGCACTCGTGACTCGTCTGTAATAATTCGACACGACGCCGCTGAATTCGATGGATCGCATTTCTGCCATCCGATATTGTTAATTCAAGCCAGGCTCCATAAAAAAAAAAAGCTAACGTGAGGGAAAATGAGGGAGTAGATGAATATTTAATCAAAAGGGACAGGCATCTGCAAGTTCCATGCAATTATAAACTAAAATTACACAGCAGTGCTTACTAATTTAACAAAAAAATATTCATTGCATTATGCATATATTTATTATTAATAAAATGGGGGAAAGGCATACGGGAGATAAAGCACACTCAAACATCATTTCAGCCCCAGAAACCACTATTTCAACTCCAAGCCCTTTTACAATATTCATGAAGCTTATTTTCACTATTTAACTAGAACTCCAGTTCTTTGTTGCATTGTATCACTTACACAGTAAATGCTTATCAGAAGGAAGTCTCGGCCCTCTGCAGTGCAATCTAATGCAATAACGCCGTAATGAAGCTCTAATGTTTGGACTTTTCCTGTGAGCTATTGATTCAGTTTTATTGTCAATCTGAGGGGCGGCGCCGTCATATTTCATACATACAGTCGTCCTCATTTATTCTTAGCCTTCCATTAAAGAAAAGGCAAAATTCACAATAGTCACTCAAATAACTGGAAGCTGAAAAAAGTAATAATAAATAAAAATTTGCTAAATTATAATTTAGTGACATAAGGCATTGCTTTTGAATTGTGGTTGAAAAGAATAATTAAAAAAAACAGAACTGTACTGGACAAATTAGCGCACTTTGCTGATGAGCAGTGAAATCCAAACACCTGTCAACAGGTGCAGAAGTCTGACTGAGAGTTACAGAAAACACTTGACTGCAGTGATCGGCTCAAAGGATTGTTCAACAAAATATTAGTTTACATCATGCTTGTTTTTTTTTTTTTGTTTTTTTAAAATTTATTTTAAATATTTCTGTTGAACCACAATTGAAAAGCAATGTCATGATTTTCATGACATTTTTATTTATTATTACTTCTGTTAATGTCAACTTATTTCAGTCACAGCTGTTTTTTTTCCTTCTTTAATGGGAGGGTATGAATACATTGAGGACAACTGTACACGTTCAACACCATGTGACAGAAAACGAAAGTATACAATATTTAATATTTATGTCCTGCTTCTATCCAGGAAGTGGCGTTTTTCTAAATCAACAGCAACATTACAATTTATTCTCACCATAGAAATTGACAAATGTGTACATTGGTGATACATTTGACCTGCAGTACCAAAGACAACCATCTTGACTTTGGTAAAGACGGGGAGTCTACTTCCTGGATTGGAATGATAGTTCACTAGAGTGTAGCTGACATGTACTGGATAGTGTTATATGATTGGTCCTGTTGATCATGTAAAGGACTCAGATATTGTTGTACCAAATACATCAGAAATGGTATTATAGGGTTGTTTAAACTGGAACTTTAAACGATCCCAGTGGCTCTGAAGTGGTTAAAAAATAATAAGTGAATAAAAACAGCAGATCTGTTAAGAGGAATTTAAGGATCTTTGATTACAAGCCACCGGCGAGTTTATCTTTAGTATAGAGTTTACTAAGACGTGCAAGACTGATAATATGTTTTAAAGCAAATAAAAAACATGGATGAATCATAAAGGAAAAAATTGTTTTAACACAAAAAACACACTTTGCAGTCACTGGCATGTACACCAACCAGCCATAACATTAAAACCACCTGCCTGATGTTGTGTAGGTCAACCATTGGGCCAGAACAGCTCTGACTGATCAAGGTCTGGACTCCACAGACTTTTGAAGGTGGTATCAGGACATTAGTAGCACATTATTAATGTCCTGGAAGCTGTAAAGTGGGTCTCCATGGGTCAGACTTGGTTCCCACAGATGCTCAGTTTGATTGAGATCAACAGTTTGAACTCTTGGTCATGTTCCTCAGACTTTCCTCAGAACATTATCCTCAGTAAAGTCTGCAACAATGTTCACGAGGTTAGACAGGAGACATCTGACTGGTCTTCAGTTTTGACGCCTTTCAATCAAAGCTAGCATTAAGATAAGAAGTCATTTCGCTTGCTGTGGTTTTAATGTTGTGGCCGATTGGTGTAAATGAATCCGGTGCAGTTTAGGTTCTTCTGGTGTGTCAGTCAGCATCTTACCTGTCACTGTATGCAGCAGCTGTGGCAGCAGTAGGCTGGGCATATCTGTAGGCAGCGTAACCACCCTGGAAACACACACACACAAAACAGATAAAGTTTACTCATTCCAACGTGATGGACACTTGCTATACAAACATACTGCTTTGTAATGTCCTGAATTTCAGAGACGTGACATTTAAAGCAGACCTCAATAAAACACTTTCGGGGGGATTCCTCATTTTGTAAAGTTGACTGAACACAGCAAAAACTAAGATGGTGGCCGAGAAGTAATAACTCGTGACATTCATGTCAGTTTTGGTTAAAAGCAGCACATTTCACATTGTCAAAATTAGCATGTTCTTCCACTTGAGTTCATTAGACGTGACATGCCATTCGACGATCCACGAGCGAATAATGGTGTTACATCATAGGATTGATTCACTGTGGGGGGGTTTCAGGTTTTCTGTGAGACTACATATATAAAATTGTGTATGAAACTACTGGGATCAGACTGTAAACTACCAACTAAATCATAGTTTTAGCTTAAATAATGCACCTCCTCATTCACTGTTCAATTCTACGGACACGACTTCAGTGTTCTTAGTACAGTTCGGGTTCGGTAAAAGCAAACCAATTAACCTGAGTTCCACTAACTGATCGGTCTGACAATAAACAGACAGTAAACATGATGCTGGTGGCAGCAGCAGGACGTGTGATGAAGACAAGGTGCTCGGTAAAGTGTGTACAATGATACCAGGGGGCTGTAAACATGTTGTGAGCAGGGACAACTAAAGCACAGGGTGTAAAAATAAATCATAATCCAGCCAAATGAAAATTGCCGCTTATCAGTCCAATTCCCTACGTGATGATTCATCTTTGTCGGTCTTTGTACTGTCTGCTGCTTAATCCCCTGTAGCGGAGGTGACCACATGGCTGGAGACACAACTGTGGTTGAGGTTGGCACTGAAATCAGCTGCTGGTAAGAGACCCCTTTGCTGGAATCACTGTCTTCACAAAGGCTACAGATTTCTAACCTAGTTCACTTTTTCATTATTCCGGAGCACATTTAGGACAAGAAGTTGTGCTATACATGCTGTACAGTGTGCCTATGAGGTTATATGATCTTCTCACGGTGTTTGATGTGTTTAAAGATTTACCGAATCGGTTCATGCATCAGTGAGATTAATCAGCTTAACCCAAAACTGTAAAAGAGAGGCTGTCATAGTTACAAACTGGGTACATTATAGCTCCATAGCACAGTTTGAACTGTATAATATTTAGCTTGACTTGAAAACTACTGTATAGTATTGAAATTTTTTTGTTTATCCTGTTTCATCTTGCTTGTTTAAAATAATTTTGAATAGTGGTGCTTTAAGTTTCAATCTATATGTTTTTTGTTTCCTTTTGTTAACATACACAGGATGTATAATGCTTTTGGCAACTGGAATTTGTGGTTTTAATGTAATGTAATGTTTTAATACTGCAATGCAATGGAACCAAAATTGTATAAAGAAGATAAATGTATGTTTTCAAAGAATATGCATTGCTATGTCACAACTTGTCAACACTATGGACTGTATAACAGTGAGTGAACATGGCCTCCGTGTCAGAAAAGTGAATATGAAAGTGCCTTAAACCTGCATTCTTTCTAACAGCCAGCAGGGGGCGACACCTTTGGATGTAAAAAGAAAAAAAATTGTCTGAAAAAATTACTCTACCTCTCATTCAATTTGGTGCCTCAGTAAACATTTTCCTAACGAGTTTATGGTCTCTACTTAGACGACGTTCTACCATGATGCCTGTTCATAAAGCTGGTTATGTTTTAGGGCAGGTTGCTACCAGTCAGATCCACCACTTGCTCATTACATCGCATAAAAAAAACAAAACAAAGTGGTGATGGCAAAATTCCAAAATGTCCATCTCTGACATACAGTCTGTGGTCTACATGCATTCACAAAGTCTGATACGTGAAGATCTCTGCACTCTAAAACAGTCGGTGAATTCTCAGAGACTCACTACAGCGAGTGTGTTTGCATGCACACTAGAGTCAGTTTTAAGTCTGACCTTGTTTTGACCATATTCAGGATCTGACATTTACACTGGACCAAAGAAATCTACCCAGTCATACCCTTATATACACACAGAATCCATGTTTCTGACCATCTGGATGAAGTATTTCCCATTTTGGCCACTATGTTGTACACCGAAAAAAACCTGGATCATGCCACAGTATCCTAGTTTCTACTGGAGATCAAACCTCAACCAGGATATGATGTTTACATGTGCAACGCTTAACCAGAAAATGACCAAAATAATCCAAAAATCTGATCAAACACCAGTTTTTCTGTCCTGAAACAAAAGCCCGACTCCACTTTATGTATCAAAACATGTTTAAGAGCAAGACTGCAAATTGGTAAAGCCAAATCCCTAAAAGCTTTTAAAGTTTAATCAAAGAGCCAAACATCTGAAATACGCAGTAATATTTTCTTTACAGCATGTTTGCTTTGGTTTATGAGACAGTCTGTGTAAGCCCAGTGATGCCAGCTTTCCCTTAGTGTACGTGGCACTCTCGCTGTAGTTGTATTTGTCAGCACTATGTCATGCTTTAGTGCTGACATAATGTTGCATAATGCATGACAGCATTGTTTAGTGTCAGCATAAGTGTCATGTAATATATTCAGTAAATCCTGCACTGTCTATCCGGCGGATCGGTTCGTTCCTCTCACGCATCACAAGGAATGATATAATTAAGAGACAGCACCTGACACAGGCACATGCAGTGATCAAACACAGTGATATCACCAAATAAATCAACAAATACAAGCACAGGAAACACTGAGTAGTCTCTACGGTCCATTACAGGGAATAAACATTAACGTCTATACATGCATACAAGCCTAAAGTGATGAACAGCCATGCCAGAGTTCATGTAAAGTGAATTTCTATTAGGCCAATAGGTTTTATCTGGACCCAGATTACATAAATAAGTGGAACAAGGTGGTAGAGATGTTAATGAGGAATTTTAATTCTTTTCTACTTTTCCTTAACAATTTCTACTTAAAATGCTATTTCCATAATTATTCCTGCCATTTGAATTTGTCACACATTTTTCAGAGCATGCTAAGTTCTGCTAATTTGTACGACATTCTCATACAAAAAAAAAAACACTGAGGAGAGCAGATGCAGTAGCTCTTGAGTCACTTATTTGTCAATTGCGAGTCATGGCTGAAACAAAAGGGCTTCGTGAGGCTGCTGTTTGGGGCCGTCACTGAGAGACAGTTACACATTATGGCTGCTCACAGGACTGGGAAAGGCAAGAAAGCCATTCTGACGTGTTCGTGTCATTGTAAAGTACAAGGAGTTCTACGAGGTAAAAAAGCTCAAAGATTGTGAAAGTAAAAGACCTCTGCACTGGCAAGAATGGGAGTGTAAGAAGCCAAGAAGAATCCAAGAGGACCATCCTGATGAGCAATGCTTGTACCAACATCTGACACTGCACATGGTTGGTCTCTATGGGCGATGACCAAGCAGGACTCCACTTTAGCACAGCACATTAAAGTTTAATCATATGCACTTTTTATAATGACAATGCATCAATTGTTTTAGGTTTAGGTTCAACTAACTGTCCTCCTATCAATCCAGTTTTGAGTGAAAAACCTCCAAAAGATCCAATGTATACAACCTGCTCCACACCAAGCAGCAGACAGATGTAGTTAGCGACCAGCTGATGAATATAACGTAGCATTTAGGAGCTAAGAAACCAAAAACCGAGCTTCAAGAGTGACTATGGCTCACATTTATCAGATGTACACAAATATGACTTTATGGCTCTTTTTTTGCCACAAAGAATCACTGCTGAAAGTGCTTTATGTGTGAGTGGACCCAAAATGGATGGAAATGGTAATGAATGTAAGCTGGGCAGTGTGAACAGCGTTGACCAGCTTCCAAACTCCTTCAAGCTAATTGAGCTTTCATGCAACAAACCAAATCCACAGAGGCCTCACCCTGCCAGCCAGAGGACTCACGGGAACTACTGTCAGTGTCCCGATGACGGACACCCCAAGATGGTTTTAATGTGGTGTCCTACTGGTGTACCATGTGTCTCCTACCTGACGGTAACACTGGTATTATTTAGCCTTTTGTGATATCTTATTATTGATTGAGGCGTTTTTACATTTCTAGTCAGGGAGAGTTTGAGTTATGAATCCGGTGATATATAATAATAAACTGCCGGGAAAGAAAGAAAAGAAACAGACGTGTTTTGAATTTTGATCTTTTGGAGTATGGACAGTTTTATTCAAGGGTTCTTCATTCTTCTAGTAAAAGTTAGTGCTGAGAGGAGAACCAGCCTGAGAATTGAGTAATCAGGACAAAAGGTAAACTTATTTGTTATTCATTTGTGAGATGTGGTTGAGCAAGGATGGAGGTATTTGTCCAGGTGGTTCTTTCTTGTTTTGAGTATGAATTTAAAAAGGTAATGCACCTGCTCTATATCCCATTTCAGTTGGCCAACAAGCAGAATTATGAATTCCATGCAGCTGATGGAAGTAGCCAAATGCTTTGTTGAGGTTGGAAATCAGAATATGGACAGATGGAATCGAAGATGGTAGATTAATGATGTGCAATAAAACAACAACAGCATACATCAGTGAACTGGCCGCTATTGTTATGACTGTTTTACCCTAATCCTAGTGTTGATAGTGTCCATACAGATATTAAAAAATTACATTCTAATACAAGTAAGCTGCATTCTCGTTTATATTTTGAAAGACACTTAATTTTATTTTGCAAAAGCAGGGTAACAGGAAAGACTTTCAGTTTAAAAGGTCTGTATGAGGAGATGGATGGAGGCATAAATCAGCAGCACGACTTTTACTCAACGACCGTATCCCATGTGGGGCCATTAGACTTAGACGTCAGTTTCGTTTTCACTCTGTGTTTACTTTGGTTAGGTTTAGACTTCAAAAATGCTTGGTTAGGTCCAGGAAAATACCACGGTTTGGGTTGAAAAAAAGATTCTCAGATGTTTGAAGCTTTCCCTCCATTTACTGGGTTACAAGGGCGACAAGACCCATCCTAACAACAG